TCCAGCCGGGTGACAGAAAGAGACTCTGTTTAAAAAAAAAAAAAAAAAAAAGAGAGAAAGAAAAATGCCTAGCTCCAGAACACCTCAGGTCTGAGTGGCACCAGTTATCTGAGGGCATGAAGGCAAACCTCTGTAGAGGGTCGAAGGTGTGAACCATCAGTAACAGCCACTGGAGTAGTTAAGGGAACTGGTGAAAGAGGCCCCAGGTTACCTGGGCGGTGCTCCCAGAGTCTCTGTGGGCACACAGTGTGCATGCAGTATGGGCATACGGTCCCAATGGGCATACAGTCTGAGTCACGTGCTCAAAAAGCAGATGGAGGCTTTTGGGGAAAGAAGCTGGGAGAGAGAGGGCATCCCAGGGCTGTGCGGTGGAGCCCACGAAGGTCCTTTCCAACCCTGTGCGTTTCCAGGCATTTGCCTATCCCAGGCACCCTCCTCTGGGCCCTTCTGGTTAACTTCTCCCATCATGCAGAATTCCCTTTCCACAAACTCCATTCCCCTGTCTTCTCAACATCATCCCAACTTTAACTTCTCTTCTTCTTCTTTTTTTTTTTTTTTTTTTGTAGACTCAGTCTCACTCCGTCACCCAGGCTGGAGTGCAGTGGGGCGATCTCAGCTCACTGCAACCTCTGCCTCCCAGGGTCAATCAATTCTCCTGCCTCAGCCTCCCAAATAGCTGGGACTATAGGCAAGCACCACCATGCCTGGCTAATATTTGTATTTTTAGTAGAGACAGGGTTGCACCATGTTGGTCAGGCTGGTCTCAAACTCCTGACCTCATGATTCACCTGCCTCGGCTTCCCAAAGTGCTGGGATTAGAGGTGTGAGCCACTGCACCTGGCCCCAGCTTCCCATCTTTCTCTCTTTTTCCTTTCAGTTGGCCAAGTGGCTGGAAGTCCACGTACAATGGGCATGCCATTCTGGAACATCTCTCTTCTCTGTCCTGGACTCAGTTCTGCGGTAAATGTAGTGTGACCAGGAAAGCAGCTGTACGTATTTATGCACACATTTTTATTTGAACATTTTCAAACTTTTTTTTTTTTCAGACAGGGAGGGTCTCACTTTGTCACCCACGCTGGAGCGTGGTGACACAATCACAGCTCACTTCAGCCTTGACCTTCTGGGCTCAAGCGATCCTCCAAACTCAACCTCCCAAGTAACTGGGACCACAGGTGTGTACCACCACACCTGGCTAGTTTTTGTGTTGTTGTTGTTGTTGTTGTTGTTGTTGTGTTGTGTTTTGGTACAGATGGGGTTTTACCATGTTGCCCAGGCTGGTCTTGAACTCTTGAGGTCAAGTAAACCACCCACCTCGACCTCCTAAAGTGCTGGGATTAGAGGTGTGAGCCACCAAGCCCAGCCTTTGAAACTTATATTATGGAAATTTTCAAGATATATCCAAGTAGAGAAAACAGTAAAATAATCCCCATTTCAAAAACTGATGGCTGGCCCACTGCAGTCACTCACGCCTGTAATCTCAGCACCTTGGGAGGCCGAGGAGGGAGGATTGCTTGATACCAGGAGTTCGAGACCAGCGTGGGCATCATAGCGAGACCCCCATCTCTACAAAAATCAAAGTTAGCTGGGCATGGTGGCATGCATCTCTGGTCCCAGCTACTTAGGAGGCTGACGCAGGAGGATCACTTGAACCCAGGAGGTCAACGCTGCAGTGAGCTGTGAACACACCATTGCCCTCCAGCCCTGGTGACAGAACAAGACCCTGTCGCAAAATGAAAACAAAATAAAAACTGATGGCTAATCTTGTTGCCTTTATATCTTCACCCACTCCCCCACGCCCAGAATCCTTTGCAGCAAATCCCAGATATCATAGCATTTCATTTGTAGATTTTTTCAGAGATATCTCTAAGCGCTAAGGACTTTTATAAAAGAACATAACCACAGTACCATTAATACTCACCATAATAATAATTATTTCTTTTTTTTTTTGGCTTCTTACTTACAGAACAATAATTATTTCATATCATCACGTGTCTATGTTCATATTTTCCCAATTGTCTTATACTTTTTTTTTTCTTTTTTTAGACAGAATCTCGCTTTGTTGCCCAGGCTGGAATGCAGTGGCGTGATCTCAGCTCACTGCAACCTCTGCCCCCCGGGTTCAAGTGATTCTCCTGCCTCAGCCTCCTGAGTAGCTGGAATTACAGGTATCCACCACCACACGCTGTGTAGGAAAAAGTTAAATATTAATTTTTTTTTTTTTTTTTTGGAGACAGAGTTTTGCTCTGGTTGCCCAGACTGGAGTGCAATGGCACAATCTTGGCTCACTGCAACCTCCACCTTCCAGGTTCAAGTGATTCTCCTGCCTCAGCCTCCCAAATAGCTGGGATTAGAGGCACGTGCCGCCACACCCAGCTAATTTTGTATTTTTAGTAGAGATGGGGTTTCACCATGTTGTCCAGGCTGGTCTCAAACCCCTGACCTCAGGTGATCCACCCACCTCAGCCTTCCAAAGTGCTGAGATTACAGGTGTAAGCCACTGCACCCGGCCAGAAAAGTTAAATATTAAATTTAAACTCAATTGAACATGGACACAAACAATGGTCACCAAATCCCGGAACAGTGGGAGAAATCTCTATTTCAATCTATTCCTATATGTTAGTTAATGAAAAACAGCAGACAGTCGCAAAAACAAGTTGACCTTTTCGTGTTCCTTGAGCCCAGTCGCAAAGGGCCCTCGTGACTGGGCCTCATGCCTAACAACTTGTTACAAAAAAGAGCTAGGGCCGGGCGCAGTGGCGCGTGCCTGTAGTCCCAGCTACTTGGGAGGCTGAAGTGGGAGGATCGCTTGAGCCCAGGAGTTCTGGGCTGTAGGGCGCTATGCGGATCGGGTGTCCACACTAAGTTCGCCATCAATATGGTGACCTCCTGGGAGCAGGGGACCACCAGGTTGCCTAAGGAGGGCTGAACCGGCCCAGGTCGGAAACGGAGCAGGTCAAAACTCCCGTGCTGATCAGTAGTGAGATCGCACCTGTGAATAGCCACTACACTCCAGCCTAGGCAATATAGTGAGACCCTGCCTCTAAAAAATATATATATTTAAAAAAAAAAAAAGACAAAAAGAGCTAGGGTCCCAGACTGCGCGGAAGCTTCATGAGACCTCTCCTAGTCTGTGCATGGACAAGTGGCCGACTCTGGAGCCCAGGCTGTTGTTTCCTGGTCTGGTGGTGAATCCTCCATAGTCTAGTGAGTATAAAGATATATATATATCTTTTTTTCTCCCCTTCCCATTGCAATCTGCTTATTATATCATTTGCTTATTATATCTGCATTGCCATTTACATGGGATAAAGGTTGTTTACCCTTGAAGGTATTTTTATGTGCGTGTCTTTTCTTCTCCCCTTGAGCGTCTCCTGCACAGAATGCACACCCAGCTAATTTTTGTATTTCTAGTAGAGACGGGGTTTCACCATGTTGGCTAGGCTGACTTCATGATTCACTCACCTCAGCCTCCCAAAGTGCTGGGATTACAGGCATGAGCCACCGCGTCCAGCCTGCACAATGACTTTGTAATCATTATTCTGAACGCCAGCTGCAAATGTGCAGTAAACGTCTATTGTCCATTTATTGATAAGACAGGGAGCATTAACCAGATATGGAGAGAAAGCGTCAGTTCGTAGGGCTTGCAAAGGGTATTTAGTTTAGCTTACTCCCCTGCCCCAACACAAATCTGCATAAAATACTGCTTGGTTTTGTCACTGCCTTGCTTAAGAATGTCCTGCTAGCACGAAGTCTAAATTGCTTGACCTGGCTTTCAGGATCCTATGGAGTCAAGTCCTCCATAAATGACTGTGCCCAGTATCAAACGTAGAACCAGGGAGAATGCCAGAGACAAGGCACCTTACAAGGGGTGCTTACCATTAGTTGGAAAGTCAAAATAACATGAAGTAAATCTCATGCTAATCTGCAAAGTACTGCTGTAGATACAAGCAGCAGGGAGTGGTTGGCTGAGGGGCCAGGAAGGGAATGGCCAGGCGGGAAGGAGCACAGAGAGCGTTTTGGGCAATGGAAACTGCCAGGAGAAAGACAAAATCAGTGGACAAAGGTGCAGAAGCAAAAAGCGCCGCAGGATCCGGAGTGTGAGAGGCCTGCCTGCTGGGCTTCTCTGTGTCAATCAGAAAGTAAAACCATCCAAAGAATTTCTGGGAGTGAAAAACAACAAGATTCACTGATATTCTTTCATTTAAGAATACATTCTTGCCAGGTGTGTTGGCTCACATCTATAATCCCAGCACTTCTGGAGGGCGAGCTGGGTGGATTGTTTGAGCCCAGGAGTTTGAGACCAGCCTGGCCAACACGGTAAAGCCTCATCTCTACTAAAATACAAAAAGTAACCAGACATGGTGCTGGACGCCTGTAACCCCAGCTGCGAGGGAGGCTGGGGCAGGAGAATCGCTTGAAGCCAGGAGGCGGAGGTTGCAGTAAGCCGAGATTGCGCCACTGCACTCCAGCGTGGGTGATGGAATGAGACACTGTCTCCAAAAAAAAAAAAAAAAAAAAAAAAAAGAATATATTTGGGTTGTGGAGACAATTCAAATGTCCATCAATGAATGAATGGGTAAAAAATGTGATACATCTATACAGTGGAGTATTATTCAGGCTTAAAAAGGAAGGACTTTTTTTTTTTTTTTTTTTTTGAGGCAGGGTCTCACTGTCACCCAGGCTGGAGTACAGTGGTCCAATCATAGCTCACTGCCGCCTGGACTACCCAGGCTCAAGTAATCTTCCCACCTCAGCCTCCTGAGAAGCTGGGGCCACAGGCATGCGCCACCACACCCAACTAATTGTATCTTTAATATTTTTTAATTTTTTCTAGAAAATAAATTTTGTAGGAAGGAAATTCTGACACATACTACAACGTGGGCGAACCTTAGATATTCTACTACGTGGAAGAAGCCAGACACAAAAGGACACATATTGTGAGTCCGCTTATCTGAGATCTCTAGAATAGTTACATTCATAGAGACAGAAAGCGGACTGGA